AGCGGAACTGCTTCTTCGCCCTCAGCGTGAAGATGGCCTCGGGACCCACGAGTATCCGTGTGCACTTCCAGGCCGGCCGCTTCCACCTGGACGGCAGCCGCGAGAGCTTCGACTGCCTCTTTGAGCTGCTGGAGCACTACGTGGCCGCGCCGCGCCGCATGCTGGGGGCCCCGCTGCGACAGCGCCGCGTGCGGCCGCTGCAGGAGCTGTGCCGCCAGCGCATCGTGGCCACCGTGGGCCGAGAGAACCTGGCGCGCATCCCCCTCAACCCCGTCCTCCGAGACTACCTGAGCTCCTTCCCCTTCCAGATCTGACTGGCCGCGCCCGTCCGCAGGCAGCATTAACTGGGCGCCTGATTATTTTCTATTATTAATTATTATTATTTGCCTGGAACCCTATGGGTGCCCTCCCCGCCTGGGTTGGAGGGAGTGGGTGTGGGGGGCGAGGAGCCTCCTGCTCTCGGCTGGAGACAAGGCCGCAGACCCCTCCCCACCTGTTGGGGGGCGCTCCTCCTCCTGGTGCTCCCTCTGGGTGAAGCCAGGACCTGAACTCGCACCTCCTACCTCTTCATGTTTACATATATGTATCTTTGCACAAACCAGGGGTTGGGGGAGGGTCTCTGGCTTTATTTTTCTGCTGTGCAGAATCCTATTTTATATTTTTTACAGCCACCTTAGATAATAAACTTTATTATGAAAGTTTTTTTTTTTAAAGAAAAAAAATGGGTTTGTGGAGTGTGTGCTTTGGCCAGAAGTTGCCCTGGGTTCAGGGCAGGGCCAGGGAGAGGGCCCAGTGGGGGACAGTGCTCTGTAGCTGGGCACCCTGCTGGGTTCTACTCAAACTCAGGAGAGAGCTCTTTGGTCTAGTTTTGCTGTGTCCGGTAACATGGCAGCTCACATTGAGCTTTTAATGTGTGCCGGTTCTTTACTCTGCGTTTCTTGCTCCACTGACTTAATCCTGCAGAGAGACGACCCTGTGAATTCAGTGCTGCCCCTTGTCCCCAGGTTACAGAAGAGAAAACCCAGGGAGGAGTGCACTTGCTGTGGCCATTCCTGTGTCACAGATGACACTCCGGCCTTTTTGGAGGTCTGAGTGGAATCTGCTCAAAATGGATGAGAGAGATTTCTTTGCTTCTATGACCACAACTTCCAGGAAGAGGGTGGGGCCGGGGTGGGCGCTCCGGGTTTTGGAAGGAGTGGCCCATTCTGAAACTCAGCACCAGGGAGACAGATTTCAGATGGGATCCTGGGGAGGCAGGGTTGGGTCTGACTTCCTTCTTCCCACCCTGTTCTGTCTGGTGGACTTTTTGGTGAACAACACAGCTTAGAGCCAGAGAGAGGTTTTGTGGTCTGTGGTGGCAGAAAGGTCCCCGCGGGTGGCTTTGGGCATTTCCCTCTGCCTCCCTGGGCCTCAGCTTCTGCCTATAAAGCGGGCAGCCTTCTGCGAAGCCTGAAGGCGAGCAGGGAGGGAGGCTGCTGCAGGCCCTCGGGGCCAGCCAGGGCACCAGGAGGAGCCCAGGACGTGGGCTTTATGGACCCCGGGTCTGCCGCTGGCTGGCAGATGGGCCGTGCAGGAACTGGGGTGCACTGCCCGTGGCACAGTGACCCGGTCAGGACCAAGCGGCCTCGGACGTGCTTGTGATGGACGTCCTAATATTTAATAATACCTTCCAGGCTTGAATGTGCAGCATCAAAGTAACTGGGTGGCTGGGGAGCTGGAGCAGTCCAGGCCTTAAGAGGGCTCCAATCCTCGAGTGGGGGCGAGACCTCACCTCCCGGAGCTTTGGCCACTCATCCTCAAATAGGGGCTGGGAGGGGAGGAGGCGGGGTCTCCACCTCCAAGAGGTGGCTACCTTTTCTCAGTCTGTTCAACCATCCCTTGCCCTTCACGCCCTGCTGGGTTACTAAAGGCCTCTCCTTGGTCTTTCGTCCCCTGCCACCTTGGGCAGTGCCTGGAGAAAGGCGGTCATGCTGGGGGTCAGGTAATGCTACCAGCAATGACCACAGACCTGTGGGCCCCTTCCTGTACACCGGGCTCCCTGTGCCCTCTGGACAGGGCCTCAGCTCCTGCCCAGGAGTCAGGAGCCCCTGCCCCGCTCTGCAGGGGGGAAAGCCAGCTCTACAGGCAAAGCGGGCAGCAGAAGTGGGAGCCAGATTTTCTGCGCCCCTTGTTCAGTACTGCTCCAGAGGCCGGGGACCGTTAGGCACCCCAGGACCTCACAGTTGCAGTAAGAATAACAGCAGCAGCTGCTGCCAGTTATATATAGCCCTCACTCGGAGGCCCATTCCAAGCCCCCTGGTCACCTATTTATAAAGCCTTCTGATTTCAGTCATGGTAACATCCCCATTTTGCAAATGAGGAAACGGTGCTCATCTGAACAGGGGTGAAGTGGCAGGTAGTTTACCATCTGCTGAGGGTTTTTTCCTCCCTTGGAAAAAGTTTAAAAATCATCTTCCCGTTACACAAGTCCTGGATACACAAGCCCATTCCCTTACAAAACCTGAAGCAGCCCAGCCAGGAACCAAGGTCCCACCGCTCACACTCCCGGGACCTGGCCCCTTCTTTATGAGTCATTTTAAGTCCTTAACTAACATATGTAAAGTGACCTAAAAGCCCCAGGGAGCTGCATGCCAGGCACCAGGCAGCGTGGGACTGAAATCCAGCGCAGACACCTCTGGGGGAGGTGTGTGTGTGTGTGTATGTGTATGTGTGTGGGCTCGCCATGTGGCTTCCCGGCGGGGCAGATTCTCCATCTCACTCTCAAACCTCAGCTTCATGATTCAGCAGCACTTACGTCAATGTCAAGAAAGAAAAGTGAGAGCAGGCTGGGGTGTGTGCAGCCGGCCATGGGCCCTGAGTCCTCCCGGCCCTGGGCACCCAGCAGGGTGGTGTGGGGCACCTGTGCCTCTGGCTGTCCTCGAAGCTGTCCCTGGGCGGCACTCCGACCCCGTCTCACCAACAAGGCACTGAAAGCTTGGAGAAGTGGAGTCACCTACTAGAGGTGACACAGCTCCAGAGCAGGGGCCAGAACTCGGACCAGGTGTGTCCCATCCTCAACACCAAGGGGGAGGATCCCTTGGAAGTGCGCGTTCTAGGCCTGGCCTCCGCCGGTTCCTCCTCCGGACCTGACCTGTTACGGGCTCAGGAAGGGAGCCAAGCCTCTTCCCCGAGGTGCTGGACAGAAAGCGCTGAGCACAGAACCTGCCAGCAGCAGGTGCTCCTCGGTCTCTGCAGGACTCTGGAGGTCACATCAGACAGACTGGGCGCTTCCTGTGTCCCAGGAAGTGCCCAAAGGTTCCCGGAAGCGGGCATCTGGTCCCTGCTCATAGCCACGTGGGACCTCGGATGTAAGCAGCTGAATGCGAAGCCCAGGGGCTAGAACATTCCAGGCAGCGTCAGAGCTCACATGAAACAGGCGGCAGACAGTGGCCGCAGCTGTCGCTCCTCGGGTTGTCCCTGAAACTGTGCCTGGAATGACAGGCAGGAGCCAGCCAGCGGAGATCCGAGGTCTTTGCCGCAGGCAGAGGGGACAGCAAGGGCCAAAGCCTCCATCGGGGACGAGTTCCGTCAAGAAGGGAGGCCGGGCGGGAAGGCAGAGTGGAGGAAGGTGGCCTGGAAGTGCCCCTGCCCAGGGTGCGACCTGATCCACCCTGGGCGGTGACCAGGCCCTGCAGCGGGGGTGGAGACGGACTGGGGGGCGGAGCTTGATGATGGCCACACCCCTCAGCTCCAGCCAATCAGGAGAAGCCAAGGACCTGTCCCGAAGGACGGACGCTGGGACCGGCTCCGCAGGAAACTGAGGTCCGAACTGGCCTCAGGATGGTCCCCGTCCCCGTGAGGGGCTTCTTAGAGGAACACTCGCCCTGGGAGAAGGACCTGAAAGGAGATGGATACACCGGCAGGTGGGGGAGGCCAGTGCCCTCCATCAGTGCCCTCCGATGCCTGCTCCGTGTCCCCAGGCCCCCGGCGTCACCCAGAGTCTTCCCGGGGCTCAGGACCTCCCCAATTCACCCCCTGGGCTGGGCCTGACCCCGGAGCCTCCCGAGGGTCTTCAGAGAGGAGCCCCGAGTTCACACAGGGACCACAGTGCCGAGGTGGGCGCTCGCTGCTCCTCCAGCCCTGGCCCTGGGACCTGACCGCCAAGCCCCGTGGGGACCTCCACCTCAGGCCCAATTTGTCCCCGGCACCCAGCGTGGGGTCAGGCATCGCCATGGCCCTCCAAGGCTCGGGAAAAGCGCCCTGCCCTGCGCTCACCTCCTGCCTCCGGGCCTCCTGCCTGCTGCCTCCGGGCTTCACACATGCTGCTCCTTGGCCTCGCGCGTCGTGGGTGTGGTCGCCAGCCCACTGCCACCAAGGCTTGCCCTCTGAGGCGGGTCAGCGGTCCCTGGCGCCGGCCAGGACCACGCGCCCCGCTCGGCTCTGTTCTGTTGGGCAGCGCTTGGCTGCCCTGGGCCTCTTGGGCCTCCACTTGGCCCCGAGGCCTCCCAGGGCGTCCAGGCCTCTCAGATCTCGAGGTTCTCAGGAGAACCAGAAGGGCATGTCCCAAGGTCGTGCCAGGCCAAGGCCATGAGAGCAGGCCCTCCGCTGGGCCCTTTAGTCCCCAGAGACCAAAGAGAGTTTCCTTCTGCTCCCGTCCGGGCTGACTCTTGCCTGGCCCGGCTCACTCAGTCCTCAGGTCTTGAACCTGTTTTCCTGGCCTGGAAGTGAGATCAACTTCCCACCCGGTGGGCAAGATTGAATAAAGGGTCATTGAAAGTTAACACACGCAGCAGGTGTCATCCCAGCGGCTCGGGAGGCTGAGGCAGGAGGATCCCGAGTTCAAAGCCAGCCTCGGCAAAAGCGAGGTGCTAAGTAACCCAGTGAGACCCTGTCTCTAAATAAAATAAAAATAGGCCTGGGGTGTGGCTCAGTGGTCCAGTGCCCCTGGGTTCTATCCCTGGTACCAAAAGGAAGAAGAAGAAGAAGTTCACACACTTTGCCAATAATCAGCATGTGCCGTCTCTGCTTTGTGGCTCTTGCATGGCGCTGTTTTCAAGCAGAGCCATTTATTGAGCACCTAATGGCTGTGACCACTTGGCCCAGGTTGTGGGGTGAGACAGGCTCAGAAAGGCTGAGGGGCCACCGAGGCAGACAGGATGAGCGGGACAGGAAGTAGGAGCCAGGCAGAGGACTGGCAAGGGCAGGGCTGGCTGGTGACAGTCAGGGCTGGCTCCTCCCGGACCTGCAGGGGCCTGTTAGGGAGACATCATGCCCTCCCACACAGGGCTGCAGCTGGGGGGGCGACGGGAGGCCTGAGGAGCCGAGGGGGCGGCCAAGCACACCTGCCCACTATGTGACTCTAGTGGCCTCATTCATACAACAAGGATTAGGCTCCATGTGTATACCTGCTGCCCAAGGTCGACTGAGTAGAAAGGAAATGAATGCTTCCCACCCGAATCTAGGAGCGTCCCGCTGACTGCCCAGGAGCCTCTGAATCGGCTCAGCCATGGAGGCAGCCGACCTGGTCCCGTCCTGGACTTGCCACTTTGCCAGGAGCAGCAGAATGCCAAATGCACACTGGACGCCAGGCATTGTTCTGCTAAATCCTCAGGAGAGCGTAGGCTGCAGGTGTGGGCATTCCTGTCCTCGTTTTGTGAAATTAACTCCGTGCCATGCCAGGTGCCACATGGCAGGTGATGGTGGCAGGTCTGGGGGTCTAACCCAGGGCCTCGGTGTTCAGTCCTTCGTGCATGTGGATCTCTAAGCGGAGGCTGCTCAGACTCCGTTTTTATGACTTTTCCCCCAGGTCTTTCCAAGAACCAGCCGTTCTGTTTTTTGGTTGCTGTTTTCTTCAAGTCAAGTCATTTGGTTCCTTCAGAACACTTTATGTCATCATTATCATGCTGGAGGAGGTGGGATCCCGGCCATGAGAGGTGGCCTGTTTTTTGGCTCCAGGGATTGAACCTGGTGGTGCTTAACCACTACAGGTCTGCTGTAGGTTTGCTGGAGAGAGAAGGAGAAGGAGAGGATATTATCCAGGGTCAGGCTAGGACCGGAGCCCCAACAGCAGACCTGCGCGGCCTCACTCCAGCCCAAGGACGGCGGGCGAGAGGATGCAAACAGGACCCTCCAGGGCCCCTGTCCCACGCCCGGGGAGACACTGCCCAGTGAGGCTGCAACATCGTCATGGGCTCTGAGTCCCAGATTACTCAGGGGTGAGGCATCCAGAGCTCACAGGGTATGAAGGGTTAAAGGAAGTGATTCTAAACTGCTGAGCACAAAGTACATGCTCAATAAAAGGCAGGAAGAGCCCAGAGCGGGCTGGCCCTGCATCCCATCCCCAGCTTGCATCACTGAAAATGAAACCTGGGCCCAGTCCCCTGTGCACTAGCCTGATGACAGGAAGGGCCACGTTTCCCAGCAGGTGGGTCAAAGCGAAACCACTTCAAGTCCAGGTGGGGGGGCCTGTGACCCGGCCGGGCCGGGGCGGGATCAGGAGGAGAGCACCTTTGGCTTCAGGGTGGCTCCATCGCTGGCTGGGGATGGGGGAGCGAGGCCCAGGTGCGGCCGGCCCCTGCGCGGGTGTCAGGTCTCAGTGCCCGCGGCTCCAGCCTCGCCCACCCCCCAGCTCCGCGCACGTTGGGTGAGGACCGCAGCGCACTACCCTTCTCCAGGGCCGCCTGGTGGGCACCCTGTTGTCTATTTTACAGACGAGGAAGCTGAATCCGGAAGAGGCCGAGCGCCTTGCCCGTGGCCTCCCGGTCAGTAAGAGCAGGACCCGGGAGCTCTCCACTGCCAGGTCCTAGAACATGCCGCCTTCCCCACGGATTGGAGGCCACCTCAGTCCTGTCCCGTCCCCAGGGCCAAGGGGAGGCCTTCGATGTCCTCTGTCTTCCCTTCACTGGGCAAACTCCTACGCAGCCTTCAAAACCCCACTCGGCCGTCACCTGCTCTGGGAGGCACCCTTGCACTCTGTGCTGCCTCCGCTCACACTGAAGTCCTGGTGAGGTGGCCCGAGGTTTCTGTCCTCTAGACGCGAGGACCCAGAGGGCAGGGGTCACCTGTCAGAGTACCTACAAAGAAGGAGAGAAGGAAACAGTCCACATGGAGTGCAGATGGTTGCCCAAGCCAAGGAGCAATGGGGGGAGAGAGGGAGAGAGAGAGAGAGACAGAGGGAGAGAGAGACAGAGGGAGAGAGAGAGAGGGAGAGAGAGACAGAGGGAGAGAGAGACAGAGGGAGAGAGAGAGAAGAGACAGAG